TACCTCTTCAAAAATTAATATATTTTTATTATAATCTAGCACTCACATATACCAGTAGATAATTTTGAAAGCGAAATGCCAAAAGTATCCTTGATTAAATTTTATCTGGACCAGACTGCTCTAAAAAGTTCGGTCCCAGACCCAGTCCGAGCAAATCCTTTGTGGGATATTTAACATTCTATTCAGAAAATCAACCTATATATGCCCATGGGCGTACTCGAAATAGCACAAAATAGCGCGCAGATGCCCGCTATTTCGGTAAAAATAAAAATTTTACCATCAAAATCATATAAAAAATGATCTACCTACATATACTCTACCTTTAAACTACTTGAGATTAAAAAATAAAACTTAGCAATTTTTTTTGCATAAATTTAATATAAAATTTGGTAAGTTAATTTACAAAACCAATAAATAACAGCAAACATTAGAACACAGTATTTTTATAATTAAGCTGGTTCTTAGAATTTAATTTAAATCCAAAAAATTTAAAATCTAAACCAAATCTACACTAATTTTATCATTCATAAGTAATTACCTCTTCAAAAATTAATATATTTTTATTATAATCTAGCACTCACATATACAAACATGTGACATCAATATATTTTCAGAACAACCGTTATTTTTAAGTGACTGCTTCAATTGAAATCTCATGACAATATCTAAATTTGTGTAATAGCCAATAAAAACATTTCGATAAATTGAGTTTAAATAACAGTAACGCCATTAAATTTATTATTTACAATACTTTATGACTGCTAAAAAACGTTGTATTGTATTTTATTTTTTTCGTATGAAGCTAACTTGATTATTTCTTCGATTTGATTTTTCTCACATAAAATTCGAGTTCTTTCCCCTCAAGAATATAACCATCGGCACGACCACATTGGCCTGGTCTGGAACGTAAGATGGCTAAAAGTTTAAAGCAATTCATTATCAAATTCAACTTGCATTGAGTACAAAAAAAAAAAAAAAAAAGGTATATGTGTGTATATATGTCTTACCATAAAGGCGGCCAGTAGTAAATTGGTCATCCAATAAGGGGTCAACCTTTGCATCCTCTTTACGACTGTCAATTTTTCGTTGAACATGGTTAGATCGCTTCTTGCTCAATTCTTCTGATTCAGCCTTCAAGAAAATAAATAAATAAAAATAAAAAAATTCGATTAAATTATAAGTGCTTAATGTTCGATTTATTAATTTATTCTGTGTTAAAACCAGTATTCATAATAACCACAGCAAACATGATAAGAAGAAAACGTTTACATACTTGGCCTTCCTTCTTGGCCTTCCTGCGACCGAGAGGTTGTGCATAGTGCGCTTCAAACCATTGCCTAAAGGGTGTAGCATCGATTTGAATGATTGCACCTTTTACAAGAGTATTGGTTCGAACCAATTCGTTGTTTGAAGCGTTATAAACAACAGCAATGATTCTCGTTTTCTTGGTAATAGATTCTGATCCCCATGAAAAGTTACCAGAGTCAAGACGAAGGGCACGAAACTTTTTATTCCCGCCACGAACACGGACTTCATGAATACGTTTTGGTCCAAGTTTCGTGTTAGCTGGCTGACGGCCTAATTCAAACTTCCTTTTTTTGCGATATTGAGCCCGTTTAGCACCTGTGTGCGAACGCTTGTGGCGGGAGTCTCTGCTAATACCTATTTCGCATTGAAAAGATCACAGTAATTTGAAGTTTATAAATGTAATTCCTTTAAAACTTTCTTGTAAGTGTTTTCAGGTTGTCTATAATTTCAATTTTTTGAGAAATAGTGAAAGTGATTTGATATAAAACCGAATTTTTCGTTTCGTTATGAATTTATTGAATGTTTATAAACAATAAAATCGACCGATTACAGTTGACAGTTCATTAGGCTGAAACGGATTATTGTGTGGATGAATTTTATTTTTACTAACCCATGTTATTGTCGCCTTTATTACAAAAATTGCAAGAGGAAGTTCACGAATTCTGAAAAGGGTGATCTTAAAAAATTTTTAAAGGTCCCGGCAGGCGGAAATATATGGCCAATAAAATTAGATATTTTTAATATTTATATATCCGATAAGTAATCCGCAGATAAAAGTTTTTAAAGTCTAGACTTAGTACCCCAAAAAAATTTTTGATGGTGGGTCAAGTCGTTTGACATTGTATTGTCTACTAAATA